CCGTATCTTACCTCAGCGGTTTCTTTTCGTCCATCAGGGCACCGAGCAGTACACCACCTCCACAACAAATCCCAGAGTTGGCTTTCTCTTTATCCCCCAAGCACGGCCTTGCTAGCAGGGAGCTTGCCTTTTTTCTTTTTTAAATTTATTTTTTCCTTTTTCTAAACCAATAACTACTTTAGGGGGCAGGGGGATTATAAAGCACTGACCGATATTACAGGGGTGGATTACTTTCAGCCTGCCACTCCGTGGACCTGGCTCTTCCTTTGCTTCTCATAGAAATTTTAAACATCACCAGGCACAGGAAAATGAACTGACTCTTCTCATCCTGTTTTTTAAGATAGAGAAAACTGGTGCAAATAGGTTTCCCTCCGCTCCATTGTCAGTTTAATATTCTGGTCCTGTTTGTCCTGGGCAAGTCTACACTGATGAAGTTTGATTAGGTTTCACTGTCTCTTTGGGGAAGACTTTGTCTTCGAGGCTGTTTTCTTTTGGCAGGGGATGCTCCCGTCATGCAGTGCTGAGCACATCAGAGCTGAACAAACAGGCACTTTTTCTTTTTTTTTTTTTTTTTTTTTTTTTTTTTTAATTCTAGCAGAAAACTTCCTTCCCATACCCGACCTCAAGAAAATCCAAGCATTAAAAGAGGAGACACTCTGGCTGCTTGACCTCAGCAGGCAGCGCCCTGTCGCATTCCCGTTTCAAGGGACCCAGCCCAGCCCAGCCGCCCAGGCGAGGGGTTTGCATCCCGTGGCTCTCCCCAGGGTCATTCTGTGCCGGCCAGCATGGGCTAAGCCCACGACTACAGCTTTAGCAGGCCACAGTGCCCTCCTCACCAGTAACTACAAGCCTTTCCTCAAGGCTGAAACTCGTTTTAACTCCAAGGTCAGTCCCACCGAGGATACGGAGCAACACAGTCTGAAAGAGGACTAGGATCTTCCAGCACCACGACTCCTCCTTTTGCCAAGTGGCATCTCGCACAAGTGAGGTGGCTGTGCCCGAGCTCACCGGGCGGGCAGCCGGCACGAACACTCAGCACAATAAACAATCCCGGGAGCTTTCACTCTCCCGAAGGTGCATGTTCAGCGTGTGGGGGAGACAGAGGGAAATGCTTTGCATCAGGGAACACAAAAGTGCAAAACTCGAGACGCTTTTTTTTTTTTTTTTTTTTTTAAACTGATCCAAACCAATTACCTATTTGGCCTGAATTCCACCGCTAAGTCTGCGAGCAAACCAAAGGCAAACTGGGAGCAGGAAGTATATCCCCTGTGAGAGAAACTAGAATAAAAAACAAGATGGACTTACAGTTCTTCCTTTTTTCTTCAAAATTTCATATGGATGCATCATCAATAAGGAGCAAGAATAGACCTTCATGTTTAAATTATATCTGAAGTTTCGAGTAACTGCAGAAAAGCAATCACAGAGGCAAAGGCGCGAGATGGCTAAAGCCCCTCTAACGTTGATCTGGGGAAGGCGTCTCTCTACCGCCTACAAAAGTGCCACATTGAAATGAGGGAGGCCCAGCTGCCAGGAATACATATTTTAGCCTCTGGGCTGCTTTCAGCACCTCGTTTGCATTTTCAAATCTGCACACGAACAGAACCTACAGAATCTCATTTACAAGCAAAAACGGCAACCGAGGGAGGCAGAGGCGCCGCGTCGCCTTCTGCGGGTAAGAGACCCCAGTGGGCGAGCGAGGGCAAAGCGAGAGCCTCTCCCCAGCAGCAACGGGCACCCCCGTGGGCCGCACCATCATCTGCCACCCAGGAACGGGGGTGACAAATCCCACCGAGGGGCAGAGGACAGTCGCCACGCAATGCTGACTCGTAACATCGCCGCTCAGGCGATCCGCCTGAAACATCTGGTCAAAACATGGATAGTCAATAGGAATGTATCCAAAAACACAATGGCACAGCATCTAACCTCGACACGCCGAGCCATGCGACACTTTGGTATATAGCTGTCACCTAATTCCTCCCGAACCAGGTGCTTTGCCCACTGCGTAGACTGCCCGCGGCAGACTTTTATGCATGAATTAGCATGAACAACGAAACAGTTCTTGACAAAAGTAGCCCTCGGATAGAAGGACACAAAAGCTAGAGAAGCTTGCAACTCTTATTTTGTTTTCTCAAAGGAATGCGACAGAACCGGGGACCTTTTCCTAAAGCAGGTTTATACTGACAACACCGGGACACAGCCCCTTGTGACGTTGCATCGATTTAAATCAAACCTCCCGCTGTTTTAGAATCCTCTCCTGGATTCTCAGCAGCCACCGTCAGCCCCAAACCCCCTCTCTCACGCAGAGCCCTCCCCTCTCTCCCCAAGACACGGTCCCCTGTCAAGCAGTAACGTGGCACACACGCAAGACCCTTTCCCAAAAGGTTTTACAAAAGGAAAGCAAACCCACGTGGGATATTTTGCCACATCAGCTGAACACCGTTTGGTCCTACGTTTCAAATTCAGTCCTCTGGATGCACAAACTGTCCCCGGGTTTTGGACGTGACTCTTTCTCCTTGAGAAGCCAGCCAAGAGCTGTGGATTCCCACGGGAGCTCTGCTCGCTGCGCAGAAGGCGAGCGGCTCGAGAACATCCTCGGGAAACAACCTTCCCCCGACGAAGTGGCACGGTGGCGATGATCACACGGCGACTTCTGCTGACCCGAACAGACCAGGGGAGCTCAAATGTTAGCACCAAATCCCTGGCAGCTACATTGTCGACCTCGGGTGCCAGTAGGAGTTCTCTTTTTCCATCTTCCAGTTCCCACCAGGTGTGCCGTAAATAAAAGCAGGACTCACGGACAGTTCTGAGCCGGCGCCGTGACAGCACCATCCCCTCTGTGGACAGGCCACCCTTTTGTGGGCGAGCCAACTTAAAAGCACATTGGGTCTTCTTTAACATCCCCTTCGACTCTTTAATGGTCTTTGTTTATTTTCTTCTCTGAAACCGAGACATTTAATTGTGCTGAGGAAGTTGGTCAATAGTTACAGCATCTCATTAATACCAGTTACAATGCCATAAATGTACCCACATAGGCAATTACTGCTCTGTGGAATTAGGTCAGAGACACTTTTGCATCCCTGTTGGTCGCTTACCTCTGGCACTGCAGCGACTGAGGAATAACCTACTTAAACTGGACGTCAAGGGGAGAAATAGGCTTCTAATATTAAACAACCATATCTTCATAAAACTTTGTTTTATAACAAAATATCTTATTAAACACAACTTCTCCTATGCGTACGTATGTATATATCATACAGAAGTGTTGGCTTAAGAGTTCTGCTATAAGGCAGCAAATGCCTTTCTCTGCCCAAATGGAAAATACATCTTGAGTAAAGCTCTAGCTTATAAAAGCATCATCTTATGTTACACTGCCACCATCTCCCTGCTCTTCTGTTTTACGGGTACCACAGCTCCGCGGCTACGTGCTGCAGCCTCTACGCTGCCTACGGTGAGTCTTGCTCCGTTTCCTATTGCTCATCTCAACGAGGCCAGGAGATTGACATTTTTTGGCAGGGGGATGAGGCACAAGTTCTTAACTTGTCTTAAATCCTTCCACTTTTAATTGTTACTCTGGATGCGGACCTACTCCCCTCCCAATGGTCCCCACATCCTGAACCTGAAGACTACGAGATAATACTTTGTCCCACCCCCATCCTAACCCACCCCACAATCTAAGTAAAATATGAAGAGAAATACACAACTCCAAGAATATAAAAGGAGCTCGGTGATGTGGACGAAAGCATCATGGGACAGAAAGTGCACGTGGGGATAAGGGAGCATTTCAAAATTAAGGTCAGAAGTTCACGTGTAACTAGAGCCCTCACTGCACAGCTTCAAAAACTTCTATGCAGCTGCTTATAACTAGGGAATCTGAAAAGTCTTCAACTTGTCGAGGGAACAGAGGAACAAGGGAGGACATAGGAAAGCGAAACAAGGGCCGTAAAGGAAGGAGGGTTTCATTGCACAAGAGAGGGAATCTGCTCTGCAGTAGAAAAGAAGGGCTAATTTAAACAGCAGCACACGATGCCTAGGAGGTGCGTGTGGGGGGAAGCCAATACAGACAGTGAAAACCTGCTTACAACAAACGTGAGCCTAGATGCTTTGTTACTCACCTTCTAGAAACTGATCCGAGCCAACACATTCTCCTAGTTCGGACCCTAAGCAGGGACCCCACAGCCAGGGGCCCCCGGGGAAAGTGCTAGGTTTCATTTCTGGTGCAACAGCAACAAACACAAACTACAACTTTACTCTTACTCTCTCCCAGGAGAGCAATGTTAGCCGTTCCACTTTCAGTACAAACTGGTACAAGGTTAAGTGCACACTGGAGGATCTCTTCAGCATCATGGGGATGAATCACGGCCAACGGGAGAACCTGCCCTTCAACCCCTTTTTGACCTGTTACTCTAAGAGTCCTTCCAACGCAACGCCCATCCACCACCTTCCAAAATTCCCTTTGCCACACACACGGCGAGGGTCCCTTTGCCTCCAGACTGCCAGGGCTACAGGTTGCAAACACTGTATGAGATGAGTATAGGGATCCAAACTCTTTTTTTTTTTTTTCCCCAAAAAATAAGAATAGCAGTTTGGATGTAGAGCATGCATTTTGAAAAGAAGTTGTTTCTTTCTAATAAGGTCTCTTTCTTTCCCCCGTTCTGTGCACTCATACAAACCAAACCAGTGGAGTTTAGTAGATGCACTAAGTACCTGAGCTCTGAATCAAGCGCAATACTGTTTTAGGTCTTTTCTGTGAACTCGAGCGCAACAAAAGGTTGAGACAGCACCCAGCTGCAAAAAAAAAATAATACTTCAGCAAGCTCGAGTCACAGTCAGATAGCTAGGCCAAAGGGTGCTCTTGTGGAGCCAAAATTCCCAAAATTTAGGAAAAGAAAAAAAAACAGGTCTAATTCTGCACCGAGCTATCTTCTCCCTTACGGACCCTAGCATTCTTTAGTTTGAACAACTGACCATTCACGCCAAATCACGAGTATACCGGAGCATCGAAGAAAACATCAAGGTATTGCACACACTGAAACACACGCACTGAAGTCAATTGTCACCTCAAGGTCACCTGCAGTGGGTGGCGGGCATGGTTCTCAGATCAGGGCACTTCCTCCGGGCTAAGAAATCACCTGCTACAGAAACGCAACCAAACCTCAACCAACCGACCGAAATAAAAACCTTGCAAAAAACTCCTTAATGCATGTGTGTGGGTGTGTGGGGGCATGTGTGTGTGTGCACGGGCGTGCACTCACAAGGTCAAAAGAGGTTATTTCATTCTGGGCTCCACGTAAATTTTATCCCCATCCCGAATGCCGTAAGAATGCAGCGCTCGCGAGCTGTATTTCATCTCCTCGGGACCAAAAGGAGCTTCCTGGTCCAAGTAGAAGAGCAGCATGTTGCTTGTTGATAACTGCACTACAGTTTTTAAGTGCTTCTTCAACTCTGCCACAGTCTGATCGAGACGGATCGACATCTCTTCCACCTTATCCTGGAAGTGAACCTCCACCTTCACGCTGCTCTGCGGCCGAAGATCCACGACTGCTAAGGGCTCCAGCTTCCCGTACTTCGTGACCAGCTCGTGATACCTGAAAAATTAAACCAAGTCCAGAGTTACGCTACAGTTGCTCCTACAGCCAGTTCTGCACGTTTCACAACTCAGATTCTGTTTCACGTGATGATGCTCCCCCATTTTAGCTGCAATCATCCAGGGACACTACTTGGTTGCCAAGTACAAACCAACATCTGCACCGAGAATACAGTGACCGGATGACAAGAGGGTAAGTGCAGACTCCAAGGAGTGATTCATCTAAAGCCCAGAACTGTTTGAGGAGAGCTAAAACCAGAACCTAGACAACGATGAGCTGTCCTCATCCTTCAAGTCAGTGACAGCTGACATATGGCTCTTCCGAAACTTCTTGCAGTTTAACCGGCACTTTGCTCAAGGTGGGAAGGATGGATGAGGCTCTCACAAGTGAAGAATATTGCCGAGCTAGCATTCAAAGCCCGTAAGTGCATGCCTCTCCCCATACAAGCCTCCTGCCCAGCAGCAACTAAAGGAAAACCCCAGATTTCTTCTTCATTTGCCACCAAATCTCTCACACTTTGAGGAGCTGAATGTTCCTCGCATGTGGTAACACTCGCTCCGATTCAAGTCTGATGACCTGAAAAGACATCCATAAATCTGGATGGCATGAGTCCTGTTTTCTCCCCTGCCAGCACGACACTTCACAGAGCACACAGTGTTTCTCAGGCAAGATGTTGAAAAGGAGAAAATAAACCCCAGAAAGCCCATCCACTCCAGTCACCTTGTCTCCACCGAGCGCAGGGTCTCTAAGATCACCGAATCAAGGGGAGCTGCAGCACAGTTTGGAAGCTAACAACAAACAGGGCATTTCTTGCCAACTCATCCTTCACACCTACTCTAAAACAACACGGGAGTTATAACTAGCAGAGCCACACGCTCCATCGTCACTCTCTCCTTGGAGCCAAGTCCTCTGACTGCCCTTTGCACGGTCCACCCGGGGAGCCATCCCCTGCGATGGAAAGCCCGGCTCACCCTCCCGCCGCCTTCAGCGGGGATTGCTGCCACCGGGCATGGCTGCACACCCCCTGCCTGGCTGGGAGAGAGGCGAAACGGCAGCACAAAACACGGTGTGAGCGAGATGACAAAGACCGAGGGCTGCCGAGGAAAGGTAACATTTCAGAGGCCCTCCACTATGCGCCGTACAGAAAGCGCTTTTTGTTCCCCAGCCGAGCCTGAGCTGAATGCGATCAGTGCTGTGTCACGGCGCCTGTCGAGAGATGATGGGACCTGGCAGGCCGGGTGACCCCAGGGAGTCCTGCTGAAGGCAGGAATGTTCCTGGAGAACAGCAGAGCCTCTGTCTGCTGGGAAATGAGGTAAGGGCCACAACTCACTAGGACTTCCCCAATCTCACGGACAAAATGAGCCCTCCCCAGGGCGCAGCATCCAAAGGCAGGCCGGTGCCCTGCTCCCACAGTCATCTGGGTGATAGGATCAGGCCTATTTACTTGGAAAAGCCATTAGTGCTGAGAGGAGACTATTTTACCACCCGCAGTAAGAGCGAGCGCTAACCAACGTGCCGCTGATGGGGAGAATTTCTTTGCGGCACATTCCGCTGCAGACCAGCAGTAATTTCTCTACTCAACGACCAGAAGTACTGCCACGATTCATGCGCTCAGGGAAACGGCAGCCAGCAGGGCTGGTGGTGGGCAGAGGATAAAGAGGGGGACAAATTTCAAGCAAGCTGAGAGAGAGAATCACCATGAGTGGGCTAAAATTACCCAAATACGTGCTGTAAAAATGCGGAGGGGTCAGGCAATGTTGTCTGAAATTTTCTCATGTTGAGGACAGGCAGAAGGAGCGTCGCAGCCTGCTCCTTGTACGCTAGCTGCAGCCTGCAAAGGCAGTTAGGAGTCTGAATGACTGGCTTCCCTCAAATCAATAAGGACAAAGGCACACGGCTCATATCGTTCTTTTGTACCCCGATAATAGGCACCCTGGAGACTTTGATAATCACCCCTTGCAGCCCTGGCAGACGCTGGCTGCCAGAGCAGAGGATGCTGAAGAGCTGAGCCTGGCTGGAAGTGTCTCTGATACTCTGCAGATAAACAGTGGACCAGACAAGCAGAGGACTCATTAAAAACCCACAGACACAAAGACGTCACTCAAGAAGACAGCAATATTGGATTGTACACTCGGCGCTCCATTCTAACCCACGACAGCCAGAGAGAGAAATTTTTCTTCCCATTTCCCTCCCTTTCCAATCCCTTCCAGCTGCAGCCTGTGAAGACATGCAACGCAAGCGGGGGGTTTGCAGTGAGGGAGCGTGCTGCTCACTTACTGCACGCTACCCCCCAGCAGTCTGGAGGGGGGCTGCTCACACTCCAAAGTTTTCCATGCCCAAGTGTGTCTTCGTCCTCCGCTTGAGGCAGCACTGCAATGCAGATGCTGTACCCCCAGCCACAACAGGCGGGCGTCCTGATCAGATTCTAAATACAAACCACCTTCGGAGAGACCACACCAGATTGGGGAGCAAAGAAGAGGAAGCTTTAAAAATAAACACACACAAAATCCTTCTGCAAAGGATGCCAGGCTTCCCTTTCCAAGGAGGGTGGCTGGGTACGGGTCCAGGATCTGAAACCCGGCCCTCAGCGCTTGGGATGCTCTCAGCCATCTGCAGCCTCGTTAGAAAAGAGTCTGTAGGGGCACACAACTCCTCCAGAACAGAACAACCCTCTTCAGTAGCTGCACAAGTCTCTTGGAAACGCCGTACAGATGAAGGGATTCAGACAAAGAGCCCATTGACCACGAAAAGGGCAGTAACAGTGTTTAAAGGTTAAGAAATCAGAGGGGGAGGTAATTCTCCTGTATCTTACCAAAACAGCATAAAGCTAGCGTGCTGGTCAAGATCAGCCCAGCTTTTCTGAATGGGTGAGATATTAGTAATTTCCTACAGGAGCTCCCACCTGGGAACCGACCCCAGTTGCGTGTGGTACAGTGTAACGCCATGGGTGCACACAGCCCGCTCCCTAAGTCCACGTCCTAACAGCACCATCACGCGTGTCTCAAGCTACACCCCACTGTGTCCTTCTCACCAATATATGGGCCCTGGACGTGTGAGGCACCTGTCACCACGATATCAGGAGGTGCAAATCCAGCAGGAGATGATTCAGAGCCTGCCAGGTAATATTTACCTTCCCTCTCACGCACAAACCCTTCTTCCTGAGCTCAGGGCAGCACACTCATTCTACCAGGATCAAAGGGCTACTCACACCTTAGATCCCCTCCCCTCACTGTTGGGCTTAGCTGCCCTGCCATTCTCCCCTTCTAGAGTCATGAACACAGAGACATGAAACAATTTTCTCAGAAATAAAATGTTACAGAAAATAATCCACTGTGGGAGCAGCACCATGAGCTCGCAGTCCCCGTCTCCCCTTCCTCTGCCCTGCATTCTCCACCTCTTCTGTTATCCATTCCAATATTTCAATTTTTCCCCTTCAAGGGCTTTCTAAAATTAGAAGCCAGGATTTGTCCTCAGAAAAAGGCACAAGAGGGATCACCAGCTGTCTTGTCTCCCTGATTACATTAGTACCCTTCGCCTCTGAACTGACCCCAGTACACCTTTAACAAACGCTATAATCATTGCACCTATCAGTACTCACACAAAACGCCATGTCCTCATTCCCCATTCCAGCCTTCCCGTGACCTTACTGTACTGGCAGGTCCCATACCCAGCGCTTCCAAAAAACAAGAGATGTTTTACCTAAGAGTTAAGCTGGGGGAAAAAAACACTCACCAGCAATGGAAACGCTGACCAGACTCCATTTGCACCTTTGTCATCTGTACTGGGCCATACTTTTGACTTTCTCTACCTCAGTCTGTCCCTACCTCTGTCTTTCCCCCCAGACATGCACACACACTCTAGTCCTACCCCCTTTCTGTAAAGAATGGGCTATGAAGATTTGTTGTCTGAAAAGCGCATGAGGGTTCTAGGGCAAAAGGCACGTAAATGCAGTGGTTTGATGCTCCATGATCCTTTCTCAGCCCATTAAGAAGCAGTAAGTAGATGCTGGCACAGAGGAGATACCGACTGAACAGCATCTGTCAAAGTTCATTAGTTTACCAAGATGAACAGATCATTGGGCATACTTTTCTGGCAAAGAAAAACCATCAGACTTGTGATTTGCGGGCCTGAAAGTGAAGGGACAGCTTCCCGTCGCCAGTCACATTCCACACACCAGATGGTCAAGAGAATTGGACGCCACGGCCTGGCACCAGAGAGCACGCTCTGTACTGGCTTTCGGGGACTCCCAAACACAGGTGGATTATGAAGCTAGCCATCAGGGAGGCCAGGAAGCAATGAAGATCATGAACTGAACAGTCATGTTGTTTAATGGCACTTGACGCGGACACTTTAAGACCAAATTTGACTCAGAAGTGATTCTACAAGCCATCAGACAACACTCTAATATAACGACGTTAGCTAAAACAGATTGAGGAAGGCAAGACAGAAGGAAGGCGAGGGATGGTATTTTCATGGAACAGCTAGCCCAGATTTCCCCTGTAACATCATCTGTTCAGTCACCTTTCCTTTTGTCTCGCTGCCCTTCTGCTCCTGCTCTCCATTCCATGACAACAATTCATACCTGAACGGGACCTCCTCCTCCGGGAACTCCATGTAATACCGGATGAAGAATCGCTCCGAGTCCTCTCGCTCGCCATCGGCAACGATGCTTCCATTGAGCTTGACGATAGATGGCAACCTGCATGCAGACACCGAGAAATGCAGTCAGCAAAAAGAGAAACCCAGGCAGGGTGTCCAGCAAGACAGTCACCACTCAAAGCCACGTGCCATAACATTAACACCAGGAGAATCACACCGGGTAGCTCACGCCTCGGTCCCCGAGAGAGGAAGAGGGAGAGGGTAAATCCCATGCAGCTTCTCCAAGCACATTCAAACCCAAGCATTTTCATTTCGCCACACGTGTGCACGGGCCTGCATGAGACTCAAAAAATTCTCCGAGAAGTAGAGAAGTTAGACTTAACATTTCCATTACTCTCACTTTCCCACACAATAAAGAAAAAAGCTCAAATCTTCCTGAGTGGTGAATTCACACAAAACCCCATCTCCTAAGAGTTTCTTCCTCCAATTACCCGCTCCCAGCCGTTCACTGCCATGTAACGCTTCTGCTGAGCCGCAGAAACAAGCAACAGACCTGGCTATTAGCAGTTTCCTGCGTTCCTCAGTGGTGTAGGACTGCAGCAAAGGGATTCCTAGCAATTTCACTTCCTCGAGCTTGGGAAAAGAATTTAACTTGTCAATGTCTTCCCAGCAATGCAGACCTGCTTGGAAGAAAAGACTTGCTTAAACAAACACAGATAATACATCATGTATCCAAGATAATCAGACACAGCCAAAGAACATAAGTGACAGCCGAGCGTCAGCTGCTGTTTCTTTGAGAAGTCTGCTTTCTGCTCATGAGGGACTGCAAAAAAACCTCCTTCGTTTGCTTACAAGACAGCATAGTTTAAATTCTTTCCTGCTGTTTTGTAAGTCTAGAAGGATGATCTCCACGGCTGACTAGGGAACTTGAGTTTTTCATGGACCAGTCTTTGGCCTCACTGCCGAGGACTGCCTAGCATCAGTTATGATGGCTGCATCTATAAAGGGATGCTGCCTTAAGTAGTATTAAAGTCATCAGGACTTCTGTCATTCTAGGCATCACTAAATAGCCATCAAACGGCTTTACCTCGCATCCACGACCGCCTTGGGTCCCATTTCCTCTCATGACCCAATGGTAAAACAGTCCCAGAAGCCATCCAGCCATTTAATGAAAAAGGCTTTAACTCAGTTTCAGCCCCCTCAAGACCTGACATTTGGGACAACAAAGCAAGCAAAGGTAAAACGAAAAAACGAGGATCGAGCAACACTACAGCCCTGATTATGTGGCGAGATCAACACTACTCATCTTCGCTTCCTTTTGCTGCAACTGCAGAAACATTTACCGTGATGCTTTCCCGATGACTGTTCCAGAAGCTTACACTGGCAGCGCGAGTTAGAAAGCTGGTTTCTCCAAACAACATTCAACAGCTTCACCCACACAGTACAGAAAATGTGAAAAAACAGAAAAATTATCGGTTCAAACAAAATCGGGGGGTCTCATTTGAGCTAAGCCTGTCAGGAAATGCCAAGTTCAAGCCCAAACCATGTGTCACGACACAGCTCAGAAGAAGGGACTCCTTCCCTTCCCTATGAAACACCTCTGCCAAGGTCACCTACGCCCAAAGCCATCCTCTGGGTATCAGTAACAGCCACACTTACAGACAAACTGAGTAGGTTTGTGACAGGAGAACTCTTCCACCTGTTCTCTGGGGCGCAGCGTCACCAAAGAGTGCCTGGTACCTCTCTGAATCATGCTGCTCTGAAAGGGCCAAAAAAGCTCTCGGAGCTGGGAGAAAGTGCAGAGAGACAGACAGCCACCTCTGAAGGACAAACCGCTGTCAGCCACGGCATCCGCCTCGGCAGGAAAATCTGTTCATCCCTTCACGACCCTGTCGCGCTATAACTTCACTAAAACCCATTACCATTAGCTCATCCCTGATCTCCACTAAACTAAAAGAGCCCGCAAAAAAAGAGGGAGTGCAGCAGCTTTCCCTAAAAAAAAACCAAAACAACCAAAAAACCGTTTAACAACCTCCTTGGGATTTCTACTTGACTTTCAGCTCCCAGAACATCAAATGCAATACAGAATCCAGAGTTCTTAAATACCTGGCATCAACGTTACAAAACTACTTACCACAAGAGCACTTGCTCCTCAGTGAGACAGTGCTTTCAAATCCAGCTTAACAGGCTTTTCTTCCTCTAGTTAGCTTTAAGCTTTTATTATAGGGATTCCTTGATGCTTGCATTGCAGAGCATGTTAATAAAATACCTTCTACCTTGGCTAACACTTAACTATCACTTGCACAGCATATAAAGCTCTCAAGAACAAAAGATAATGATGCATTAAGTACTCCTGCAGAAGAATTTCTGGCGTACGTGTCGTCTCACAGACATGTCCCAGCCCTCACGAGCTGCCCTGCAGCTCTGTCTCGCTGAGCACGGGGTGCCCTTCCCGATATGCCAAATGCTGATTCTCTTCCTGGAGCGTTGGCTGAAAATTCTCTGGGGCTGAAGTGTGAAAGCAGCCTCGAGCATAACTTGTGGTGAGCTTCTAATAACTGAGCACAGATGACGGACAGCTTTTGCTGGTGAACGCTCAGTCCTTACATGCCACATACCTACACATACGCTCGTTTTACCCAAGATAAAACAGGGAATAAAAGACAAATTGGATTCTTTCATCCCCTCCACTGTCAGGCATTTATTTATCCTTCTCCAGCCAGGAGCACCCGAGGCAGGGACAGGAAACAGAGGGAAACTACCAACGTAAAAAAAAAACCTTTGCCAGCTCATTTTTAATAACTGCCAGTCCACGCTACTCTGACTCATCTTTCTAGATAATGACTAACTACCAAAACCAGCAGGCAAAGCCCCCAGAGACGGGCAAGTTGATTTCTTGCCTGTTTTCCTCTCCTAATGCTACACTCTTCAGGTGAGCGCACTTCAGTACATCTGCGCATGTGGCCCTGCATGAGCACCATCAGGAAACTGAACTTCAGCATGATAGCTCTGTTGGGACTACATTTATCAACAGCTTTGTAATTCTGCCGAGAAGCCAGGATAGATTGAGGCAAAGGTCACTGAGCATTTTCATCTCTGCGACAGCAACAGAACTATCCCAAAGGTTTAGGCTCCTGCTCAGCACTTCTGCCTTCACTTGCCCCCTCTGATACTTTGCGGGAAGCAATGCTGACTGCAGGCTACTTACTGCTAACACAAGCCTAAGAGGCAATCAGCCCAAGGACAAAGTTTCAAAGAGCACAAAGCAAGTGTGTTTTTCAGCTACTCGGGAGGAGAGACTCTTACGCCGAGAAGAAAAAGCATGCTGCTTCCAGGCTCTCACCTGACTTGTGCAAATTGATGGATCGCAGGTTGGGGAACAGCCTTGCTAGGGAATCTTCCGACTCTTCAATGGTCGTGAGGTTGTTGTTAGCCAGAATAAGTGTGTCCAGTGATGGAAACATAATTCCCAATTTTCGAATTTCAGTCCAGTCTTGAAGATTATTGTCAGTTATGTGGAGTAACTTGAGAGACTGACAGCAAACCGGAGAACAAGACACTGTTTCATAGTCGTTAAGGCACAGGAAGAGCTCCTCCAAGCTGCACAGGGGGAGAAAGATCATATCATCATCCCAACATATGCTGACAAACAGCTACCTTCTCGGGTAGAGGGGCACGCATGTGCGATTTTAACACGACTTTCAGTAACGGCTCTTGTGTGATTTGAAATCTTGGTGTAGAGAAGACCTTTGAGCACTCCAAATGGAGCGTTTCGACTGTGTCTCCGCTCCCATCCATAAACTTCCTCCACAGATGAAAAACACCTCTAAGTGTTCCCCTCGCCTCCCAGTATTAATTGTGTAACAGATTGCTCAGGGTGGTGTCCCACATTTGTGCCCAACAAGCCACCAACCCAGCTCCAATGGTGACTGGTACCTGCTTTCAACACTCGTCGCTTAATTTAAAAAAATGGTTTTATACAACACAGATGACGCTTTTTTCCCCACATCACTGGTTCTGCCAAAGGTTCCCGTTAAAGAAAGAACAGGTCCCACTAAATTTTCAGACAACTAAACTAGCTCTCCTAATCTCAGGGAAGCGTACGTTGGCCACGTACTGCTGTCATCCCCTCTGCTTACAAAACCGTACGAAGAGGACTCTGTTATCGAAACGAAGCCACCAAGGACATTTCGCGGAAGCAGAATGCCACTGCCAAGGTGGACCGTGGCCAAGCCACAGAAATCAACACTTTGCATAGAAAATCATGATGAAATATTACTTGACGAGTGGCCAGACCCTCAGAATTACATCCCATTCAAAAGCTATTAGTACAGGTACGCACTGCACCATTCATTCTGCTGTGACTCAGAGGAAAGCGTGTCACCTCCCACACTGTCGGGGTGATTATCCATCTCTGGTATTTAGATTTGGATGAGAAGCTCCAAAGGTTTTGTAGTGCCATACAAGTTCAGTTTTTAAGACAAGGTAAAGCATTCACCTGGCCAGTTCCCAAGCTCCCAAAGAAAAAAAAAAATAAAATTCCCTTTGTCTCTACTGGTCATGTTTGCATCCTCACACCCCTCTCATCCCTCACCATGTGATTTGATGAGGCAGCCTTCAGCTGTGTGCAGCGAGCACCCCTTTCTACGCCCAGCTCCCCATGCTTACTCTGGTAATTCCTGCAGGATTGTGTGGACTGTTTCCCAGGAAGCTTTGCTGTTGTTGAGCACAAGTTTGCGAACACCAGCGAAAGACCCAGCACACCTTCTCTCTAAAACGGACAAACTGAGAGGGTTGGAACTCAAGTTTAGAAACTCCAAGTGGGGAACGTTGGACACAATTTTACTGACCTAAGTGGGGAGGGAAAAAAAAAAAAAAAAGAGAAAGAAAGAAATGCGTATCAGGCAGTAATCGGACCTTATGCAATAATATCCCGTCTCCTAAAAGGGGGCCCTTCGGAATCACCACAAGCCAAAGAAATGATATGGGGGAAAAAATAAGGCTTTTGGATAAGTACCTGTAATTCATACTCCAACTATTCACTGATCTAGATTGATTGGTTAATTGCTCATTCACCTCCACAGTTCATTTAATTACGCTCTCTGAGCAGCTTGATAAGCGCAAGCCCGTCTCTTGGGAGAGGTCATAAAATCCACCTCAACACCAAGCTGAAGCAGCAGCACGTTACAGGAGCCAGCACGCCGTACCCCACTTTTAGCAGGGAGGCAACGGGCACGTCCCTTGACTTTCTGGCCAACACTGATCACTTGCTCAGCTTTCCACTGCTCCCCACTAGCCACAGACCTCGGGGTTTTACTCAACGTAAAAGACAGACAGAAGTTCACTGTACACATACAATTAATTTCTGATTTGATTCGATTAATCTGAGAACAGCGGCTTTCTTACAATCAATCCAAACGTTCAGGTAACTCTGCCCGAGGATACTTTCTCTTTTTGTGTGTACAGATGTGCACCTGAGGGTAAAGTGGCAGAGAGGTAAGAAAGAAAGACCAAGAAAGAGGAAGAAAAGTCAGACAAGACGCCTGTACAGCCCTGGAGTGTGGGACACAAAACAGATCGTGCAACCAGGGTAGGTGCTGACCTAGATACTGCTAATACACGGAAAGATGTGGGAACACGTTATTTGGGTGATAAATTTGTAGTCCTCTACTAATGATTAAGAGAACAGAACAGCCAGGCAGCATCAATTTGTAAAGAAGACACCCCATCAATCTGATTTTCCTCTTCGACTGGGTACCTGATCCAGTAGGAAAGGAGCGTCAGGGAATGACAGCTTCTGACGTCACCTGCACACCAGTCACACAGGCAAACTGGGGACTTCCAGCGCCCAGGCCAGCACTGCAAGTTAAGAGTTCAGTACAAAACTAGCAGACATGCTGAGGGAGTGTTCTAGAAGAGTGTAGTCGTGTTTTCATTGACCAGAATAATTGAACGCTTTGTGTTTTCTTAATTTGCAGGCGATACTAAGGTGGGGAAGGCTGCCGTCACATTGCGGTACAAGACTAGAGGCCAAAACAAAGCTATCAGAAACCTGTAAGATGGAAGTTCTGCGCAAGGACAGTCAAAGTACTAACATTTTGGGGAAAAATATATTTATCCAGAAAATAATTACAAGTCAGAGAACACCTGGCTAGAGAGCTCCACTCCACAAAGCGATTGGGATGGAAGGAGACGGGGCAGGCCATGATGTACACAGGTCAATGAAGAGGGTCTGGTTGCTAGCAAAGGACAATTGTCTCACGGGGAGGCTGAATTCAAGTGTTGCATAAGTGATGCTGGAGGTAATCAGTCTGCCTCGCTTCACATCTCATCTTAGGTGATGGCGTGTTTGGGCACTATGCCTTAGGAATGAAGTGGACAAACTGGAATGACATCAGCGCCAACAAAAACAACAAAGGATTTTAAGAAAATGGCCTGCAATGAACAATTGGAAGACCGGGATTTTTTCAGTATTATACTAAAATAGGAAAAGGAGACATGAAAGCTCTTCCTCGTGGGTGTAAAAGGCTGTCGTGTGAGGAACAGTGACGAATGCTCCTCCGTGCCTGCTGAGAACAGAGCAGGGAGCAAATGGGAGCAAATCCCATGCGAATGGCAGCATGGGAGACTTAAGTGACATAGTTTGGACTGAGAGGTTATTAGCTAAGCATGGGAACAGACTACCCAGGGATCTGGAATCCCCATCGCTGGCAGTTTTTAAGATTGAGTAGCTATCTATCTGTTGTGGATGGGCTATGAGAACTTAATCCTGTCTTGGAGGAAGGGACCAAAGTACACAGAAAGCCTCCCAGTTCCAGCTCTACTGCAGCTCATGCCGGAGCTGACAACGGTGCCATCCCGGGTGGCCTAAACAGACTGAGCAAACAGCAGTTGTGAGTGACAAGTGTATGTGCAGCTCTGCCCGCTGCCTACCAGAGGCAAGGTCAGCCCCACCGAAAGAAAGAGGCAGAACAGGGAGCAGAGGCAACACCTCACTACGACGGGAGAGGGTCAGAATAAAACAAGTCAGGAGACACCATCGCAGTTCTTCGCAGATACGCCCTCAGCACAAAACCATCTTCCCTGGCTCTGATCTCAAGAGGCAAGCCTAAGATTTCTCTCCCACCCGCTGAGCTAACACCTTCTAGGCTAACAAGGAAATAACAGGGAAACCTATCCCACTTCTGACTTTGTGACCCCCATGCCAGAGCCAGGACCTTGCTGCAAACACCTCGTTCGCTACCTATTTAAAGACGCAGGAGTCTGATGCAACAGAAACGTGATAATTTTTATGTGGCACATCCTGTTCTTTTCCATGTATTGTCACCAATAAACACTGACATAAAAGCAGAGCAGAAGCCAGTGCGGAACTGCTGATGACACTTGAACAGATTGCAATTGTTTTACATTGCATTTATCTAGCATGTTTCATCCAAGTGCTTCAGAGGATTTTACAATAGCATTTATCATTAATTAACAAGACCTCAGAAATATCCTTTGATGTAAACGTTATTAAACTTGTTCTGCAGATACAAATGGAAACAAAAGTGGAGAGAGAATAAATACCTTGCCTGGCATCACAGGGTCAGTGGCAAAGCTGGGAATCAACTCCCATTACTCAGATCTCCTCAGTTCTTACTCTGTTAAAAATTGCACTGCTCATTAACCTCTTGACGTTAGAAATGCCAGTTCCAGTGCTTTGCACGATAAAAAAAAACAACCCACATATACTTGTCACCCACAGGCCTAGATCGTAAGTCACAAGGTAAATGGAGTGAAGTGCCCAAATGCATTAAATTCATCACGTTTATTGCTCAGTTGTTGTCGAAGTAAATAACCATCAGCTTCAAAGATGAGAAAAAAGCCACAAAAAATGGAAATCTTTCTCCTTTAAACGACTGAAGAACTCATATAAGCCGCAATGCATTTGCAGTCATAGTAATAACCATCAAAGTTACTCAGAAAGATGCACATGTAACCATTTTACCTCATGCCAGTCTTCCAGTTTATTGTCAGAAAGATCTAGCTCAGACACATGAGCACAGAAGGCAGCGATTTCATTCTCATCCCCTGCACAAGTTATGCCACAGCTGTTCAGTACCAGCACGCTCGGAAGGTTGAGGCGATCTGAAACAGGGAAAAAGAAAAGATGCCCTCTGGTCAGCACTGCATCGCTTGGCTGCAGAAAGTAACAACAAGCATGAACAAACATGACATTCAGCAAAAGATCTACCAGTAACTCCACAATTTACACATATATAAGGATCTCAGGATAAATATGGATTGTATGACAAGTGACTGACATCAATCCAGAAGTCGTCGTGTGTCTAAACACGAAGTACCACTCAGTTATCAGTGCTCTTCAGTTACTACACACATCTCAGTCCACGTCGCAGCGAGGACCGGCCAGTCCTTTGTAGTTTATAGTACATCTCGTATCAGTTCTTGCCAGAACTTACGCTCTTCCCCAGGCATCTGCTACTGCGGATAGGACACAGGACTAAGTGGACCATACGTTGCACAGGGTTAGACTCCCTTATCCCCTTGTACTTAGTCCACTTGGGGTTAGTAACAGCGAGGATGTATTTAAGTATTTCTTTTCTAAGCTTTCCCTTTCCAACAACATAGAACATTTAGCATTCTTACATCCTGGAAAAAGTGACGTCTCTACTCTGCCTTTTACATTTCTGCTTTGGTTTTGCTCTAGTTCTTTCTCATGCAGGTAAACGGTCTCGCAGCTATTTCACAGACAAGAACTCAGATCGCAATCACAGCCTGATTTGCTAAGCCCAAAACATGACACAGTTAAAAGCTGTGGATTTGTCACAGGAAACCATTTCAACACAAGAGATCCACATTTAGGCAAGGCAAGCCATCACTCTTACACTCTATCACACACAATACAGCTCTCCCACCTCTGTTGAGTATCAAACTGTTAAAATTTAACAACAAGCTTTTTCCTAAAAAGGTGGCCCTTTTTCTCTCTGCTTAATACTTGACAGTTACACAACTAGAAGGGGGTTCTAGCAGCAGACAATTATCTGGTGTGATCTAAGTTTCCTGGCTCGTTAGCACTCAGCTTTGACAAAGGGCAGCGTTGTACTTTGGGAATTAGTCATGACGTCCTTGTAAGTCGTGTCTCGGTCACATTTGGAGACTTACACACGTGCCCTCTTTTCAGCATCCAAACAGCTCAGGTAAGTGGGTGACCACACACAGGAGAGAGAGCACTGACTGAACAGCACAGCAGGCCAATTTTCCGTTCATGTTAATTTTGAGCGACACACAGTATGTTTTATCCTCAACTGAACTCAGGCCCTTTTTCCTCCTCTGTCAAACTCAGTTACTGTGAACTTCACCCAGCTGACTTTCATGGCTATTTTCTCCTTTGGGGCTGGTTATGATACAAATTGACCTGACGGAAATTTTAATTATTTTCACAGATCACGATGGGCAAGAGGTTACACAAAGAAGGGGCAGTTCTGGTGGGATAAATGTGAATCTCAGACGCATCTGTACAACCTGAGAACCAAAAATGTCAGAGCGTGAGGGAAGACTAAAACTCAGCACTGCACAGGGCCTCATTTCCATCTTTCAGTGGCAGGATTCTGATCCCGTTATGCTGTAGGGAAACTTACTTGTTTTTTACAGCAACCAATTCAGCGCCTAGATCAACTTGCTTTGTCAGATTCCAGTCTCTCAGCTCTTCAGTAAGAAACACATTATAATACACTGTGACATTTCTTTTTCTGGTCAATTCAGGGTGATTCTTCAACTTAAGCAAGAGTAACCCAGAAACTGATCTTCCCTCCCCAAACCCCCCAGATGCTCAGAAAGACCACAAACCTACCCTTCATAGGCGAGCCCTGTGGAGTTGCTGGGACATGCACCCCCATACCAGGTCCACGACGATACGGGAAGTTCTCGGGACTGTATTTCTCACACAGAACTTGCATGAAACTCCTCCCGCTGGGCTGGTCCATGCTCCCTTCTTGGACTTCTAGTTAGTGGAGACAAACCCCAGAGCATATAAACAGTCAGCAGCTAATAATCACCTCCAGTAGTGGTCGTTGAGAAACACAGTACAAAATGAACAGACGGGTCATGGGTTTTACTTCTGAATTCCAGATGAGTCTAACAGGTCATACTTCAAATTCAAGATTACAGTAAAACCTTACCTGAAAAGAAACCAAAACTGAACAGAGGGACCAAGCTACACAAACATGCTTTCAATCATACCATTCCAGGCCAAGTCCAAGACCTCCTTGCCCCACATGCTCTTACAGGACAGTTCCCAGTATGCCCCTGGCTGCAAAAGGTGACTTCTGTACCTCACAAGAGGACTGAGAGATATTCACAGATATTCTCAAACACATTTCCAGGGCAGCGAGGAGGAGAAAGAGCAGACAGATGTTTATGAGTATGAGATTGCTCAAACACGTGCTTTCATCCTGTAATTTCCCTTTAACTCAGGACTTTCAGTCAAGATCAGCTTTTTGGATGAGGAAAAAAGAAAAGGAAAAAGGATCCACAGCTCCCTAACTGTTTACAAAGAAACTCTATACAAAGCAGGTTATGGCTTGTTTTTGTAAAATCAGGCCAATGCTGTAAATGGCTCAGAGCTCAAGGGCCTCTGCTAGCAAGACTTCCATCTGGCCCACAGGGTGGCATGGGAAGACTCGAGTTTGTTAGTAAGCTCACCCGGGATATCTCAGGGCTCTCACCTTCACTGACAGCAGCAGCTCCTTCAAAGCAAGCTTCGGCCTCAGAGGGAGCATCATCATTTCTCCTCTGACATCTGCAAAGAACTAAGTTTCTTCCATCCTGCTTGTAAACCTGGGCTTCTAATTAGAACACAACTGCTGTGTCACGAAACGCTCCCAAGCACACACGAGCACATCATTTGGCCGGTCCGAAAAGAAGTTTTGCCAATTCAATTTTGCAGCTGCTTAATGTATCTGGAAGATAAACGCGCCCTTCGTATCTATAAATGTCACAGAAGGGAACAGCACAGGAAAAAGGACTCGCCACATTGCAGGCTGCTGACCTGCCTAGAAAGATATCGAGTGTCAGCTGGAAGTACACTTGGCACAAAGATGCGGTGCTGGTCGGCGTTCTGCTGTACCCGAGGTGGAACTAAGCTTATCTGTCCTACTTTTCTGCACATACTCTGAACTGGGTATTTTATGGTTTCCAGGATAACAAAGGAGTCAAGCTTGGTACATGCACAAAAGGAAGGGAACCGCATTGTTCCCAGGTTTCACAGAGGTCTTGTACTCCAAAGCAGAGCCTGCTACCCGTCACGGACACGGAGGAGAGACCCACATCCACCTGCACGACCAAAGCAAGGCACGAACCAACTGCAGGCCTCCTACAGCGTACAAATAAGTCATGGAGCGGCATTTTCACCAAGTATTGCGGATTTACCTTTCTAGTAGACTACCAAAACCCAGCTCACACAGATACGTACGTTCTGCACATAAACCTGCACCTCCAGGACTCCCGGAGCTCCAGAACTTCTGAGTTCATGGTGGGGACACACATGCTGACAGTGATGCTGCTAACTAATGCTGAATTAAAGTTTCTGCCTGCTGCCATAAACTTTCCTTCAGATTTACAGGCAAGGATAGATATAAAATGCTGAACAAAAGTTATTGTAACCAAGGTTTGGGTTCCCTTTGTCAAGAATCACCTGTTTAACAAGCTCTACTTTACTCCTACCTGAACAGACTACCTAAAAGACCTATACCTCAAAGAACTTTGGTATAATAAGAAGCAAGTTGATTGAAACCTGTTACAATTTGTGTATCGGATATAAAGTTACCATGTCACAAGGAGGGACTTAAAGGATTTATCCATCTTAAAAAAAAAAAAAAAGACCCACACCTTTTTTAGCGCTCAGTACCTCGGTTGCTTCCTATCTCAAATTTAACTCCATGTTACTAGTCTATACAGATTTGAAAAAGAAATCCTCAAACCGAAGTATGTGTTAGGAATGAGACATTTCGGTTTATGCTAAAACATTCCTCGTGCTACAGGAACAATTTGCACTGACAGTTAAGGCTGAAAGGCCTCACACCAGAGTGTGGTGTGATCTGGGAGCTCAGTACTGTAGGACTGATAGACACGGCTTTCTAAATGCACATTCAGACCTCCTGGTCTGGAAATTCTGGAACTCCCCCATGCATAAGGCTTTCTGTCCTTCATGTTGCTTTTTTATCAACTCCATTCCTCTTTATCTGCTGAGCAAACATCAGCAGAAAAATCAAAAGCCACCTTAACATCGCACTAGAGGCAAAAAAAATGTGTTTCCAGATACAGCATGAGAGTAATCCAGAACGGAAAAAAAAAAACAGTGACATTTAAATTCAACAACTTTGAATCACAAACATTTTCTTTCCTGAGCTTTAGTTTTGCACACCAATGCCTCTGCCAGGTGACAAAAATGTCAAGGAGTGGGCAGCCACCTTTTCCTACTTCCCTTCTCAGTAGATCTCACATTCACTATAATCATCTGTCAGGCACGTGGCTTCTCTGAATCACTACAATTGCCTGAGAGCGAGGATTAACAGAATAGGCAAAGCAAGCATGACACATTTCAGGTGAATGCTGCGGGTACGAGGGCAGGACAGGGTCATTTGCAAGGTGCACATTTCCGAGTGTTTTCTTACTGACGGCACAAACATTCATATCCGAAAATAACTTTGGGTTTTCTAAATGACAGCATAAAGACACGCTCAGTCTCTGAGAGAAGTCAACGAATTATTTTTGTTGTCTATATTTAAACGCTCTGCTGGCAGGCTGTGGCCCTAGTGGCATACAGCATGGCAAGTGTCTGCAAAGAAGAGCATAACCCTGACTTGAGACGCAAGGGAAACCCGGTGGGCTGCTGCAGCTGATGAGTGAACTGGAAAGAAAACACTAGAAATGATGTTAAAAAATATTTCTATCCCCGTGCTATATGCGTACAAGGAGAACGAGTGACTGCTCAAGAGAATCATTAATGACATTCTAATGAGCCCCAGTGCCACTCGAACGCCTTCGGAGCAGGTCCTAACCAGACACACACCAAATGCATTTTGACATGTTTGTACCCATGAAAAACAAAGCACGAGGAATGGATGCAACAGAACAAACATCTGTCTAAAAGATGCCGGTGTGTCCTTCCTGAGACATGATTCAGGAAAATAATTTTTCAAGTGATCTTGAGAGACAGATGAACAAATACTATCAGGGCAGACAGAATGACCCTCTGAGCCACCCGGGCAAGCTCGCTGAGCATGCGAAACGCTGTCAGGGGCTTCATCAGAGCAAGAATAGCTGTTTCCTCACCCACCACAGTCCCACGCTTCTGGAAACAGCCAATACTAGTGGCAGGGACTGTGGTGAGGGGATCGCGAAGTGCACAAGACACGCCAGGCGTGTCACTTGACACGCTTCTGACCCGGACTCTGACATTGCGCTACTGAACCAGCGATCTCCTCAAGGGCTGCTGGAAAAACCAACTCCGCCGCCGAAGCCAGCAGGGAGCCTGCCTGTCGGTCCTTGTCTGTGCTGCTGGGCCTCACGGCCGGTTTCACGACGTGCGTTCCGCTGCACCCCGGCAGGAAA